TCAAAAAGCAAAGTTTATTGACAAGAAAAGCCTGCCAGACTGCCCAGTAGAGTTGTGCAACAGCCACATTTATTTGAATAAGGTTTTTATATCTTTTTTTAGAAGTAGCAAGAGCAAGCTAGAAAGGACCATGGGTGAGCAAGCTAGAATTGACCTTGAGTTCAGGTGGCTGAGCAATAACAGATTTGTATTTAGAGACCTTGTGGGAGAGGTTATGGGAACAGGGTATCTTAAGTTTCCTTTTCTTGGTAGTTTTGGTTCTGGGTGAAGATAGAGTCCCAGAACAAAAATGGAGTTACTAATGTTTAGGGACCTAACACTACTGTTGCAGGGGACAAACCAGGCAAGACAGCAAATAGGTACAGGAAGCAGATTTTTATTTAGCTATAGCCAGATTCATAGGGCAGCTTTCACTGTAATCAATCAATCCCCCTGAACCCCAAGTTCAGGTAGTTTCAGAACTTTATACCCAGCATGTAAGGGGAAGAGCTCAGAAGTTCCCAGTCTGCATAAGTTCACATAAAAGCAGCTGTTTCTTTCACTGTTCTGGGCAAGTTAACCCTTCAAGGATAACACCTGAGAACAGGAGAGCTTCTTCTTCTCCCCTTTCTTTCCTCTACCTGCCAGCTGTTACCATGGAACCCAATTGGTAACTTTTTTTATCTTAGAAATGTAGTCATCTCTGTGAAGCTCAGCTCAAGGCCAGAGGCCTTGTTAAAAGATTTTTTTTTTTTTTTAATCACACTTTGTATTTGCAAACACACTTCTACAATCTACTATACTGGATGTTTGTAAAAACTAGTAAGGGGGAATTCGGTACCTGATCTCTTCCAGGCCAGTGGCCAAATAAAATAGAGCAATAGAAGTATAGGAAGTTTAACTATGTTGGAACCTTTTATCTCCTTTGGGACCGCAGCCATTATTGGGTGTTGGCTGAGGTGGCCTCATGGGTTCTTCCAGAGCATTTCCGTATATCTGACCTGGCTAGATTGGCTGGATTGGCTTTTGACCTTAGCCCCACCTAATGGTTTAACCTGAAATTCTGCCTAGGCCCTTAGTAATAGTGACGTAACTGCTCCTTATTGGTTCTCGCTACTGTCTCTTCTTACTCCCTCCTTCTATCAGTATATAACCTTGTCCCTAACACAATAAAGTTGAGATTGCTGCACCTTCACAGTTGGCTCAACTTCTGGCTCAATGTGGTTTGTTCCCAATCTTGGGTGGGGACTGGGCCGCAACACTTACCCTCTTGTTCAGCCCCTCGGAGACAGCAAGCTGGTCCCGCCTGTCTCCCACGTACCTTTGTTGCAAGGAGCAACATAACTACATTGAACTTTTTGTAGAGACTCTTTTGCTGATAGTCCTGAAATCAATTATGGTGAAGATTTCTGGAGAAGCTTAGTTACGACCTTCTCTAGAGAAGGGGGTGCCAATACACT